ACCTTCGCCCTTTCTTTGGCCCCATCCTTGACTCATTCAAAAACTTCCAAAAGCTTCCCATGTTAAAATGAATGTTATATTATGATAAAGATAGAAAAAGTGAAAGAGGTAGTGGAAGTTGGCAGTGTAAGAGACGTTAAAAATATCATGTGATTTATATGATAGTGACAATTCTTATTTTATGATATGAAGAAGAAGTAGCACTCTAGAGAAGACATATATCGCTTGCTTCTAGCTTTTGCAAAGAAGAAGACTAATTGTTGGAGGTTCTTAAATTGTAGAGAAGCTTTATTATTACAATCTCAATTTCTTCAATAAAACTCATTCACTAATTTTCTTCAATAAGAAATAGAATTGAGATAATAATAATAATAATAATAGTCATAATAATAATAATAATAATAATAATAAGCTCAAGCTAACATGAGTTAACAAGTAAGTGGTACATGAGTGAATAAGTCTTTTTAAATTGTTAGAGGTATTTTTTTAAAAATAAAAAATTTAAATATTTAACATATAACTTCGTAATACAAGTTTTCATATATTTATGAGTAAATCCTCCATAAAAAATTATGAAATTTTTCTTTGAATCTTTAAAACTAGTTATATTATATCTTTATATGATTGTATTGATAGCTATTTTTTTATCTTTTTCAAACAAATCTTGTGGCGATTTTAAGAAGATTTGTATTCACATGTATTGATGCATTTTCTATCTAAAATTAAAAATAACTTTTAGATTAATAGAATGTTGAATGTCATTTCAGTTCTTTTAAGGTTCTCTCTGAACCCTATGTATAAACATCATTATAAAAATTATTTTTTGTATTGAGATTATTCAATTTCATTTTAAATCTTTCACATGTCTTTCCTATACTAATCACATCTATTTCGCATAATTTCTACAAATTTCACTCAAACCATATTTTTCTCGCTTAAGCGAAAGTTATATGAAAAAAAAAAGTCATTAGATGAATATTGCTTAAGCAGTTATTAATTTGCTTAAGTCACACAAGATACTCTAATATTCGCTTAAGCGAATAAAAACTAAAGATTGGGTATCATATTTTTACTTAATTCAAATTATTATAGCTTAAGTGAAATTAACTTAACTTAAGCTAAAAGTAATGACTTAAGCAAATATTAACGAAATTTGCATGTTCATTACTATATAAAATCAACTTAAGCAAATATGGTATAGGTTAAGTAAAAATTATAAAGAATGTTTTTTCTTCATTTTGTAGCATTTAATCACATCTCTTTAATCATTATCCATATTCTGATCGAGCTAAAGTTGTTCGTTTCTAAGAAAATCGAGATGAGTATATGATGTTTACAAAATTAATTAATTCGTTTTACAAAAATCACAATTCGAAGTATGACAATGTAAAAAGAGTATAGTCATTTAAGTTATTAGATTTGAGAAACATTTTTGCATGCTATTTAATCTCTTGGACATCCCTTTCAAACTTTTATCGATTAAATTTCAACCACATTCAATGAATCTATTGAACTAGTTGTTATAAGAAAAAAAAAATTCTTGAACTAGCTTCAGAAACAATAATAAAACAAAGTGACTTTGAGAACATAATTGAGTTTTATCTATCGAGGCAAGTTATTTGTTTCTAAGAAAATTGGGATGAATAATGTTGAGTTTACTTCTGTTGCTTTGATGTTCCTATTATTTAGGAAGAATAAGTCATACGTTCCATGATATCAGGGATCACGTCTAGGCATGTAAATGTGATCTTTGTAGTTATTTGTTTTGATGTAGCGGCTTTATATAGTCGTATATTTCTCGTTTTTGAAATACAATAAAACATTTAGTTCTTCTTCTTTTTTCTCGAATATCCAAATATCCAATTTTAATAATTGGTATCAGAGCTCTGCAAGGGGCCTGATAACCTTAAAGAGAGAGGAGGTGTGTTCTATATATACGTGAGCAAAAGTGAGAGGATACTTCCCGTAGCAAATCAAAATGACAGAGTAATTCACGCAACCCTCGATTCCAAAGTTTGATGGCCACTATGATTTTTGGTCCATGACAATGGAAAACTTCCTTCGAAGCAAGGAGTTATGGAGTTTGGTGGAGGATGGTATACCTACGCCTGTGCGTAGCACGGGACCCAACGGTGAGGCACAAAAGAAAGCTCTTGACGAGGCTAAAGTCAAAGACTTGAGAGTAAAAAATTTTCTATTTCAATCCATTAATAGAGAAATTCTCGAGACTATTCTTGACAAAGAAACATCCAAGGCAATTTGGAATTCTTTGAAACAGAAGTATCAAGGTTCTACAAGGGTCAAACGCGCACAACTCCAGGCATTATGAAGATAATTTGAATTGCTCGCCATGAAAGATGGAGAAAAGGTAGATAGCTTTCTTGGACGCACCATGACTGTGGTTAGTAAAATGAAATCAAATGGAGAGACAATGGAGCAAAGCACTGTGGTGAGTAAAATCTTGCACTCTCTCACCCCAAAATTCAATTATGTAGTCTGCCCGATTGAAGAATCAAATGATATCAGCGTCTTAACAATTGATGAGTTGCATGGAAGTCTCCTAGTGCATGAGCAAAGGATGCAAGGGTTACACGAGGAGGAGCAAGTGTTGAAAGCAACCCATGAAGAAATTTCTAGCAGAAACACTCAAGAGGATCGACCTAATAGAGGCAGGGGTCGTGGCGCATTCAGAGGTGGTCGTGGCAGAGGGAGAGGAAAACAATCCTTAAATAAAGCCACTAATGAATGTTTCAAGTGTCACAAATTGGGGCACTTTCAATATGCGTGTCCAGATTGGGAGAAGAAGGCAAATTATGTAGAGGTAGATGAAGAAAACGAGATTTTACTAATGGCTTATAAGGACTTACAAAAACAACATGACCGGCAATAAAGAGTGGTTTCTAAGTCTGGAGGAAGGGCATTGCAGAACAGTGAAGCTTGAGAATGATACTCACATGAAAGTGGACGCTAGAGGTAGTATCAGAATGCAAATTAATGGTATGTCTCAGGTTCTAACTGATGTATATTATATTCCTGATCTGAAAAATAATTTGCTAAGTATAGGGCAACTACAAGAGAAGGGTTTGACCATTCTGATTTCATATGGTACGTGCAAAGTATTTCACTCACAGAAAGAATTGTTTATGAAAACTAACATAAGTGAAAATAGAATGTTCTATGTGACAGCCTCCTTAGTTCCAAAACAGGCTATGTGTTTTCAAACAAAAAGTGCATCAGCAAAAGAAGCTTACTTATGGCATTGTCGGTTCGGACATCTCAATTACAAGATATTAAATACATTGGTTTGTAAGGAGATGGTCGTTGGACTACCAGCATTGGAATTTTCAGTAAAAACATGTACTACATGTTTAACTGGGAAACAGACAAGAAGTCCTTTTCCTAGCAGAAGTACATGGAGAGCATCCAAACAACTGCAGCTGATTCATTTTGATATCTGTGGTCCTATTAAGCCAGCTTCACACAGTGGTAAGAAGTATTTCTTGAGTTTCATTAATGATTTTACTCGTAAAACCTGGGTGTATTTCTTATGTGAAAAATTAGAAGCACTTGCAACGTTTAAGAAGTTTAAAGCTCGCGTTGAGAAGGAGATAGGAACAGACATATCTTGTCTCAGGACAGATAGAGGAGGGCAATTTCTTTCAAATGAATTTGAGGAGTTCTGCCACTCAGAAGGTATACGAAAACAGTTGACCACCTGTTACACTCTCTAACGAAACGGCGTGGCGAAAAGGAAGAACAGGACTATTATGGATGCTGTCTGAGTTGTGTTGCATGAAAAACAGGTTCCCAAGATGTTCTGGCCAGATGCTGTGAAATGGTGTGTGCATATTTAGAATAAAAGTCCAATTGCAGCTGTAGAAAGCAAGATGCGAGCAGGCCTGGAGCGGTGAGAAGCCTGTGGTGGAGTACTTTAAAATCTTTGGTTGCCTAGCACATGCTCATGTACCAGATCAGAAGAGAGCTAAACTAGATGACAAAAGCAAAGCATGTATCTTTCTAGGAGTCAGTGATGAATCAAAGGCCTGGAAACTATATGATTCGATTTCAAAATCGGTCATCATCAGTAGAGATGTGATATTTGAAGAAGAAGAAAGCTGGGATTGGAGTAAATAAAAAACTCAGCAACAGAAACTACACTATGAAGATACAGATGATACAGCAAGAGTGATTAACCAAGAAATTGAAACAACAGCTAATGAGAATGAAGAGGAAGACAACACAGGAGATATATCAGATGAAATATCTCCAAGGAGGGGTGCACGTGTAAGGAGAGCACCAAGATGGTTGGAAGATTATGAAACTGGGGAAGGTATTTTCGAAGAAGACTGCTTAAATGCAATGTTGGTGATGACTGATAGTGACCTAGTCACTTTCAAAGAAGCTGTGAAGAGTACACATTGGAGAGAGGCAATGTTGAGTGAAATAGAAGCAATAGAAAGGAATCACACATGGGAACTCGCTATATTACCAAATGGAGTCACACTAATTGGAGTTAAGTGGGTGTTTAAAACAAAATTGGATGCTAATGGGCAAGTGGAGAACTACAAAACAAGGTTGGTAGCAAAAGGATATGCACAGAGGCATAGGATTGATTATACCGAAGTCTTTGCACTAGTTGCTCGACTTGACACTGTACAAGTAATATTGGCCACAACTGCTCAATATAGCTGGACAGTTTTTCAGCTTGATGTAAAGAGTGCCTTTCTACATGGGGAACTCAAGGAAGCTGTGTATGTCCTACAGCCCGAAGGATTTCAAAAAAAGGAGAAGAAGAGAAGGTTTATCGGCTGAAGAAGGCATTGTATGGCCTCAAACAGGCACCACGGGCCTGGTACAACAAAATTGAAGCCTACTTTGCACAGGAACAATTCGAAAAGTGTTCTAGTGAACACACACTGTTCACTAAGTCACAAGGAGGTAAAATAATAATAGTCAGTCTTTATGTTGATGATTTAATATTCACAGGCAATGATCGAAGCATGTGTAATGAGTTTAAGCATTCTATGATTTTGCATTTTGATATGACTGATTTGGGTATGATGAGTCATTTCCTTGGCATGGAAGTCAAGCAGAGCCCAAACGGCACATTTATCTGTCAAAGAAGATATGCACAGGAGGTATTGTCGAGATTTGGAATGTTGGATTGTAATGTTGTGAAAAATCCTATGGTTCCAGGAACGAGATTGTCAACAGACAAAGAAGGAGTGAAAGTTGAGGAAACGCTATTTAAACAATTAGTTGGAAGTTTGATGTATTTAACAGTTACAAGACCTGATTTGACGTATACAGTGAGTTTAATAAGTAGATTCAGGACCAGTCCTACTACAACACATTGGCTTGCTACAAAAAGAATCTTAAGGTATGTCAAAGGCACAATCAATTTTGGCATTTGGTACAAAAAAGGAATTGATAGTCTAAAACTACTAGCCTTTACAGACAACGATTATGCTGGAGATTTGAATGATCGAAGGAGCATGTTGGGTTTTGTGTTCATGATGGGAACGGGTGCAGTATCTTGGGCATCTAAGAAACAAACTGTGGTTGCATTGTCCACAACCGAGGCTGAATACATGGCAGCAGCCCTATGTGCTTGCCAATGTGTTTGGCTTGGAAGGATACTTAAGAAGATTGGAGTTAAAGACGAGTCTAAAATTGCAATTATGTGTGATAACAATTCTGCTATACAACTATCTAAGCATCCAGTGTTCCATGGAAAAAGAAAATACATTGATGTGAGATTCCACTTTCTTCGGGATTTGGTTAATAACAGGGTAGTTCAACTCAATTTTTGTAACTCCCAGGAGTAGCTTGCTAATATCATGACGAAACCCTTAAAGCTGGAGCAGTTTGATAAATTACGGATTATGCTTGGAGTAACTAGTATGGAAGCATTAGTTTAAGGGAGGGAATGTTGGGTTTATTGCTTTGTTTTGTTATTCTGTTGCTTTGATGTTCCTATTATTTAGGAAGAATAAGTCATACGTTCCATGATATCAGGGATCACGTCTAGGCATGTAAATGTGATCTTTGCAGTTATTTGTTTTGATGTAGCGGCTTTATATAGTTATATATTTTTCGTTTTTGAAATACAATAAAACATTCAGTTCTTTTTCTTTTCTCTCGAATATCCAGATATCCAATTTTAACATAGATGATGTTTACAAAATTAATTGATTCATTTTGCAAAAATCACAATTCAAAGTATGACAATGTATAAAGAGTATGGTTATTTAGGTTGTTAGATTTGAGAAACATTTTTGCATGTTATTTAAGAGAAAAAAATAATGATGAATTGAACAAAATTTCTACAATGTTATTCCAAGTGAGGATTATTTGATTTCATTTGATCTCTTGGACATCCCTTTCAAACTTTTATCACTTAAATTTCAACCACATTCAATGAACCTGTTGAATTAGTTGTTAGAAATTAAAAAAAAAAATTCTTAAACTAGCTTAAAAAACAATGATAAAACAAAGTAACTTTGAGAGAACATGATTAAGTTTTATGTAAAAAAAATAAAACTTACATTCGTAATTGTTACAACTATATTTTTAAAAAATATTTACTTTAAACAAATATTTTTAAAGATCTATTTTAAATATATAATAGTTAGAAATTCTTAACCTACAAAATTTATTAAGAATTATTTTATAAATACTATAATTTTTAAAATTTATTATAACAGGTCATTAACTAACTTATTAATGAATCATATAATATACTTACTCAAATTAACCGTCACAATAATAATAATAATAATAATAATAATAATAATAATAATAATAATAATAATAAATTAGATATGAAAAATAAAAGGAGAGAGCATAGACATGTATTCTTAAAAAAATTTAGAGCCATTAAAAAATTTAATATTCTCTACAAACTTATTAGAAAATATGAGACTTTTAAAAAAAAATAAAAATGAAAGAGCCAACAAAATAAAAAAGTTAGAGAGTAAGAGTAAATTCTTTCTATCTGTTTTTGTTTTGTTTTTCAAGCACAATAACATGTAAAAAGAGTTTTTCTTCTTTTAGAATTTTTGAATCAAAATCAAATTTTTTAAAAAATAAAAATAAAATAAATTTTATTCATTATTATTAAACTAATAATCTCCTAAAATTCACTCCATCTTTTAAGTTATTTTGTTTCAAGATTTCATATAACCTAAAAAAATTTTAAAAATGATCACTGTATCTTTTTGATTGGTCATTTTTTAAATTTTATATCTTTCAAATTTTAAGCAAATCTAACCTTCACTCCAAAATAATTTTTTTAATTTGTATTTTCTATTCTAAAATAAAAAAAATAATATCTTTTAAATATTTTAAATTTTAAAAGACCAAAAAAATAATATAAAACTTTCTTTCTTTTTCTAAAAATAAAAAATTTACTTTTTCTTAACATAATTTGAAATGAAAAATATCAAAATAAATTTTTAAAATATATTTAATTTATCCCAAAAATAAAAAAGATTATTTATTTAATTGAAATTTAAAATAAAAAATATTGTTCTCATTTTAGATGTGTTTTTTTATTTAAAATAAATAATTTTTTGATAAATTATCCCTTGTTTTAAGATTTGAAATTATAAAAAATTAAACTATTTTCTTTTATAGTAAGATAAATATTTTTAATTAAATTTTTTCAAGATATTCTTTAATAAATTTATCTTCTCTTTTCCTTCTTATATGCGTGGCTGGTGATGTCGCTAGTTATTTCAAAGCATTAATTAACTTTATGTTAGTTAAAAATTTATAATTGATTGATTTTGTGTCAGTAAATATAATTAACACATTATTTTACACTTACCATATTCTATTTAATTTTATCCAAATGTAAACATTGATTAAGAAATTAAATTATTTTCACTTCAAGGTATTATAAAGTTTCCATGTTTTTACTTTAAGGTCTGGGCATTCATGCTCTTACCTTTTCTATGTTTGATAGAATAGGATAGCACTTACATAGCTAATATTTTACTTTAAAATGTAGATTTGATATTGAGACAATTCATTGATAAAAGTTCTTGGTAGTTTTGTTCTTTTTTACTTTGCACAAGGTAAATCTTTAAAAAAAAAGCAATTATTTTATTGTTAAACTTTTTAGTACAAACAAACAGTCATTAATTTTTGAATGGATTGTTATTGTGTACCTTGGTTTTAGGCTAACAAAGATCAATTTGGGACTGAATACAAAACCATTTAAGTAGATTCTTTCGGTTTAGTGTAGAAAAGTTCAATACAAAACCTTTTTAATACATATTTATTATTTTTTAATATATATATTCTTTAAATAAAGAAAGAAAAACAAAATTTAATATTAGGCTAAAAGGACTCTTTTTATGTGCAAAACTAGGTGTTATGTTAAGCTTTTGACCATGTAGCAATTCAATCTCATACACGTCACCTTTTTCCTATCTAGATGCAAGCATCTGCATTGCAAGCATTCGGGAATAGAAATCAATTATAATTGATATTTTTTTTCAACAACCAATCATAATTGATCAAGCTGGCACCAGTATTGTATTGGGCCTTGTGCAGCACAGATCAGTAGGCAAGCTCATCACATTGGGCCAGCTGCAAAATGAGTGAATGAAAGGAAAAGTTTATTTTGACCGAAAGAAAATGAAAAAAGGTTTATCAAATAGAAAAACGAAAATCAATTGAAATACATTTTTTAATATAAAATAAGATTATTTCTTATTCTTGTATAAAAAAAATTTCATTATAATATATGTATAATTTTGTGTTATTTAAATTTTTAGTATAATTTACACGGTAAAAAGTATACATATGAATATATTAATATTCAAGTTACAATGTGAAGAATTTATAAAAGTGCATAAAATGAATAATTAAATTAAATTATTTTTTATTCAATAATAAATTTTTATTTATAGACAATATTTCAAGATCTTATGACATTTTCTTTAAAATAGTACTTATTAATTTTTATTTACTCTGTATTGTGAGTACTTTAATTTTTAAATATTTATAATTAATTTCATTAAAATTTTATTCAGATTTTTGTATGAAGCATATATTCTGAACTATTTTTTCATTCATTCAATCTAATTTGTGTTTAATGATGATTTTTATCGTGATATAGGCATAAACTTATAATAAATTTGTACAAGTGATAAAAAAATGTAAAAGTAATTGATTGAGTTTAAAAATATTTTAAATTTTTTTATTAAAAAAGAATTAAGATATGGCCCCAGATTTAGCCTCTTTAATATATTATTATTTTTATTTATTTTAGTTTGTCTCTCCTTCATTTACTGTAACTTTTTTTTAAACATTTATCAAGTTATTTGAGATTATAAATAATTTTTAACCGGTGATAAAATTTTTCATAAGTCTATTATTGGTTTATTATTATTATTATTATTATTATTATTATTATTATTATTATTGAAGCAATTAGATCACACTTAGATTATTTTTATTCATTTTATAGAGAGTTGTATATTTTAAAAGATGTGTGTTGAAAAAAAGTAAAAGTTACAAGAAGAAATTATATTGCACCCGTTCATCCAAAAAGTAACCTGAATGATTGAAAAAAGAAAAATTGTTGAAAAACTATTTCTTTGTTCATTAACATTAAAGTTAAAAAAAAAAAAAATCATACCAAGCTAAAGTATATCGTAGATTTACTCATTAAAATATATTTGAAAAATATTTTTTTATGTAAAATTGATGAATAATATAAGATAATTATTTTATAATTAAATTTATTTTATCTTGTTTTTATCATTTTTATTGTTATATAAAAAGAAGAAAAAAAGATGAATTACATAGATTTTGTTGGGAACGTGAACACAATAATATAATAGAGAAGGATAAAATATATAACAAGGTATACAATAGCTTTATATAATTACAAATTATATAGTTTAAAAAATAAACAAATTTTTTCTGTCATGTTAAGTTAGGATCATGTTGGTTTGTTGGACTGATTTGTGACATTTAAAGCATTTTGATCCTTTAACATGTCTCTATTGTTGATGATACATTTATAAGAATTTTACTCGTATTAATTTTATGTTTTCTTTTTTGGTTTATAGTTATTATGATTGCTATTTGTGGATAACTCATAATTGTTAATTCTCTAAATGAAGCTGAACTTGAAGGCATAGTTTGGTCCAAAAATGCATGAGAATAGCCTCAGACACATGATAAGTAAACATATCAACAAACTAATCAGTGGTGGGAATGTGGTGAGTGACAAGATAGCCAAGAACAACTCGATTGCAAACAAAATGATAATTCAATTCAATGTGTTTGTTGTAAGCATGAAAAATTAGGTTGATAGTAGCACTATTATTGTCACAGACTAATAATGGAGGGGAAGCAAGTGAAATGGAGGGGTCTTTCAAAATAAAAGTCAGCCACGTGACTTCAACTATAGTGTTTGTCATGACCTTATATTTAACTTTAGCGTAGAGCAAGAAATTGTTGGTTGTTTCTTTCTTTCAAACCATGAGATACAATTTTGATCAAGAAGGATACAATAATCAGTGGTAGAGCATCGATTGGCAGGACAACCTACCCAATCTGTATCAGAAAAGGAAAAAAGATCAAGTGTAGTATTTCTAGTAAAGTGGAGACCTAAAACAATAGTTCCTTTGACATATTGTAAGATACCATGAACTATTCTTAAATGCAGAATAATAGGAGAATGCATAAATTGAGACACATAATTAACACTATATGAAAGATTAAGGGAGTAATAGATGGAGGCCATATTTTGTGAAGAGTATTTCAACGCCAATAAAGTGATGAAGATGGATCAAGTCCTTCATGA